CCACATAAATTCAGTGACAGACTTTATAGCTTCCAACTTCAGGATTCCTTTAGTCTAAGAGGGATATTACCCAAATAGAGGAAGTAGGACTTATCACAGAACAATATTTTTAAAGACAGAAAATTTTGGTATTTGTTTATAGTCTTCCTGGAGTTTGCAAAACTTTTCAGTGAGAACTCCTGGACTGTTTTAATCTGATGGCAAAAGAAGGCAGCACTGATTGCTATTTAATTGCCATTATCTTACTAATGCCAAATTTGTGACCCATATTAATTGCAAATGCAAGAAGATTTTCACATGAAACAGTGAATACCTTTGAAGTTGTGTAGAAACCTCTCTGCCTTTTGGTATTATATATTTTTTTTAAATACTGGCGTGGTTGTGACTCATACTACAGTCGGAAACACTTTTAAGCATTCTGTGGTTTAATTTCTGAGTTCCTCTACATTTTCTTCCCCTCTTAGAGACTATGAGGAAGATATTTCAAGAAAAGGGCATCTTGGCAGGAGAAGAAAGAGCTTTTAAGCCCCATCTGACCTTTATGAAGTTGTCAAAATCAACACAGCTATGTAAGCAGGTGAGCTGAGGTTTCATGTAGCTCAGCAGCAATCCAGAAAGTTTAATTTGTAGATGAACGAAGGAGTTGCTTATGCTATAGCATCATAGTTTTACATCTTTGTAGCCAGCTGAAGAGGTAAGACTTTAAAATACTGATATGTTGGAAGGAATAATTAGTACATCTACTGTGTAAAAAGTAGTCCTATATTGTACTGTAGGTTAATACTCTTGATATTCGCATTACAGTAAAATCATAGCCTGTTTTCTTTTGTGAAACTATGCAAAGCAAAAAGGTGGAATTACTTGTTCAAAATTACAGAATTAGTACTAAGGTGTAGATCACATAGTTGGAAATGCTGTCACAGAATTTATATGTTGCTTGCGTGGATATTGTTTGGTTACTCTGTGGGAGAAAATAAGTAAATAAACAGGGGAATTTATATGTTGATTATGCATAATGTGCAGGCTTGCATTTCTTTTGATTGAATATGTTTTGTTGAATTACACGGTAGTGATAAAATGCAGCATTATATTCTCTTGCAGGTATCTATTTCTTGCCCATTTATTAGCTTTTTTTTACAAGAAAAAGTAGACAAACTTAGAAGTAAGCTACAATAACTATAATGAGAAATATAGAGAAGCAATAAAGGATATTTAGCTTTTTATTTCACACTAACTTAACAGTAATTTATTATTAACGTAAGATCTATCTCCATAAAATTTCTTTGCTGGTATTGCAATACAATGCTTTATGTAACCTTTCAACATTGGCTTGGAAAGTAATTTTCAGAAGAAATATTTTCTAAAAATAAGGATTAAAGTACACAGTATAATTATTGTCAGGTGATTTAGCAAGCATTAAAGTACTTTATTCATTAGAAAAAAACTATAAAATCTGAAAGGTGAAGATTTTAATCAAGGAATATTCTGAAATCAGCTGGAAGATGGAATGAGTTCTAAGATGTATTAAGTAGCTTCAGGGACATAATGCATAATTGCTCTGAAGCAAAATAAGGACTTGTCTGCAGGTTGTAGGTGGTGTGTTATAGCTCATCAAATTGTAGGCTGAAGCTTTTGCTTGTATTAACAGCTGCTTTTTAAAACATTCTAAAAATCCACGGCTTTTGCAGAATATCAGCTGTTCACCAATGTAACTGTTTTGTTAAAACATCTCAGATAATCAAGGTGCTTTTTTGCCAGTCTGCTTTTTTGTTGTTTTTTGCTTTTTTTTTTTTTTTTTTTAAACATTTATCTACCTTGCATGAAGTATTGGCCAGGATACATATTTTCTGTGTTCTGATATTCACAGCTACTGACAGAACCGGGTCGGTGTCATTTCAAATCATCTTCCTTAGTCCTCCATAACACTGGATAATACACATAGTATTCTGAAGATGCACTGTTTAGAAAGATATTATGTATTAAAAACCTGTAAATTATCAGGAATTTTTGTCAGTCAATCCACTGTCTGGCATTAGCATCAGTCTTCTCTTATCATTTTTAGTTTAATTGTGTCCACATATTTAGTAAGATAGTTTCCTTGCATTTCCTGACAACAATAAATAACAACATGAAACACAGAAATTCTATCTATTTTGTTGTATTTCTTAACATAATGTTGGATTGCATTTTCAGATCATATAACAGCATGAAAAACAAGAAATGGAGAGTGGATGACGATGGCATGAGAAAGCATATAAAAGAGTAAACAGAGCAAAGTAGTTGACTGTAGTTCATAGCTACAGCTTCAAAAATATATCAATATTTTTTAAAATGTGAGATTTCTAATTTGAATCAGTACTTTAAACCATTCTCCATACAATGACATCTAAATTCCACCAACATTTCCTTTTGTAAAAATAATTTTAAATATCTTTTTACGTTTTGTGACCTATGTATCTTCTGAGAAGACTTGAACTTTCCAAACTTGTCACGGGTATTTACAATGCAGAAGAGTTTGAAAGTTCAAAATGAAGAAAAATCTCAAGAAAACAGCTTTGCACTTTGAAGTCACAGCATTAAGCTAAAAATAGACAAAATCATAAATGATAAATATTAACAAAAACAAACAAACAAAAAAAAACCCCACAACCTTGGAAATCAAAATTAGTGAAGGATAACATTTCAGATAAAGTGGACAAGGAAAGAGCTGTCTGAGTGCCCTCTCAGCTTCTCAGGTTAAAGAACCTTCTTAACTGCTCAGAAGTGGAGAAACTCATTCTTCACATTCAGCTTGACAATCCTGAAATCAAATGTGCCATGGAAAACTTCCCCAGATTAAGCAGGCACTGTGTGTCTTTGGGTGCCCTTTGGACTGAGACAAAGGGAGATAATTTACTTGCACGTGCCTAGTTGTTTTCACAGCTGACTTGGATGGTAAGAATACTGGGTTAGTATCATTATCTTCTGAACAAAGAACATCTGAAACACAGTGAAAGAAGTAACTGAGTTACTCTACACTTAAAAATAACATTTCTATTCCTGTTTCCCTCACTATTTTGCTACGTTGCTGTAGGTCAGTCCCAACCCCTCCGTTTTTCATTCATCTGCTATTTATTTCAGGGAGTGTTGTGAGGCACACCTGATAAATGCTGTATAATATTCAGAGATCCTTTAGTACATATACTGCTGCCTGAACTGCAAATGTGATGAAATGGGTTTTGTTAGTAGATGACTGGCAATTACACTGCTCAGATAGCATCTGCTTAATTAAAAAGCTGTATATCCTTAGTCTAGGCATAGGTTGACAAGAAAGTATTCCAAAAGTATAATTTAAGAATATTTGACATATGATATAACTCTATGCAGCACATATTTAGAATGCAGTATGTATAATTAATAAAAGAGAATATATTTGTGGGAAAAATCTTTAAACAATACTTGTAAGTGTAGTACATGGCCTGTTCACTGCTGTCATTCAACTTCAGTGGTAATATCCCCAAGATGTTAGATATTATTTTTCAGGCAGTATTATTACACTGAAAGTAGCAGCAAAACAGCACAGTTTGGTCATTTACCCTTGTATTTTTAATGTAGTTTATGTTAAACTTTTGTCACTATCCTGGTTTCATTATAGATAACAAAAGTTACTTTTTTTGTAGTGTCGTAAATGCACATCATAAAAGGAGGACATTCTGCACTGAGCCTGCACTGAACTGTCTCTGATTTCAGATCTGTTTGGTGGACACTCATGTTCACCTTCTTGCTGTTGTCAGTAAAACATACCAAACAGATAAAATGTTTAGTATCTATGTTAAGTATCTAAATGTTAGTAATTATGAATATAACTTTTTTTTTTTTCTCATATAATTTTTTTCTCTTGGATTAGTGATAGTGGAATCTTGGCTTCCTGAAATCAAGTAGAACTGAAGAGAGATCCAGTGTATCTGCTGATTCTCTCTGATTAGCAATACTGTTAGCGGTTACAGACAATCAGTTATCTCATGTCTTTTCTGTCTTAGATAACTTAGATAAGGCACTTATGCTCTTGCAGAGAAGGTTATTACTTCTGTGATAGTTACATATCATGCCTCCTCTTTATTCACTTGTTCATATATATGTGTTGCATACTCAGTGATCAAATGCTGGGTTCAGAGTTGATCCTTGGCACTGACAGAAGTGAAATGGACTCCTTTGCTCTGGTATTAATCTTTTAAGTTTAGTTGAATAGTTGAAAAAAATGCTGGTTTTTCCTGCCTTATATGCCTAGTATAGTTTACCATTTCCTGGACTTGTAATTTTGTTTTTGTACTCACAAAGCATAGTTATGTACTCTTACTCTGCAAGACCTTAAGAGAGTGATTATCGATAAAACCAAAGCGTTTCCCCTCTAGTTAGACCCCACTGATTCTGACTTCCATTCTTTTTATATCAGCTCTTGGAATCTCTCTGCCTTTATGGCCAGAAATGCAGCTTTATTAAATGTCACAGAGCTCATTAAATCCCTCTATATTTCCATTAAGCAGTGTCTACTTTAGTGGTTTGTACTGTAACAAAGTGATCTGTTGATCTGGGAGTCCAAAGCACATACTTACATGTGATCCTTTGATGATGATCCTAAAATGACTGAAATGATTACTTCAACAAAACAATCAACACTTTGTTTTTATAGTGCCATGAGACCAGCAGAACTATTTTGATTTTTCTACAGTATTTTTTCAGTCTGAGAATCTAACAGTAGGGGCTCAAAATGTACGATCCAACAGCTGGAAGAGGTTCTCTCCTCTTTCAAGTCTTCCTGCTTTCATATCATGCACCATACAGGGATATACAACTACCATACTGATTTTAAACAAGAATAAGAAATGACATACATTATAGATAATTTTTAAAAGTGAAATGTAGTGTGAGGCATTAGTCATAGTCTTTATTGTTGAAATTACCAAACCACCCTATCGAACATGGCAGATACCTTGTAATATATGCTTTTAGACATAGCCATGCTATAGAATTGAGGCTGCAGAGGGCAACACCTCTTTATGCATGAACTCTTCTAAGTTCACATTAGGATCATCAAGGTCTAGGCTAAGAAACTTTTCAACAACAGCCTTGCATTTTTCCATCTGGTCTCCTTTTGAAGGATGATCAATACGTTTGATAGCTTTTCCATTGCGAATCAGTTCTGATACTTCCACTCCCCTTTCAATAATTTTGGCAGGCATTCCAGCTAGTGCAGCAATGTTGGCAGCATGACTAACAGTGGATACTCCTTGTTTGATCTGATAGAAAAACACCAATTCATCTCCATCTTGGTGAGTCTCCATGGTCAGGTATTCTAGAAGAGGTGTGTCAGGCAAAAGTTGCAGCTGCATTAAGCTGTGAAAATTAGTGGACACAAAGACCTGCGGACACTGGGTTCCTTGATTGATCCAGTACTTCAGCACAGCAGCCAGAAGGGCCAGGCCATCTAGTGTGTTGGTCCCTTTGCCAAACTCATCGATAAGTACCAATGACCTCTCTGTGGCATTGTTTACTGCTTTGGCAACCTGGTTAAGATCAATCATGAATGTGGAGAGTCCTACAGAAACTGATTCCCTAGTGTGGATTCTTGTGTAAATCCCATCAATTGCTCCGATCTCTGCCTCTGCTGCAGGCACATAACTGCCAATTAGACCCATAAATATTATAAGACCTACTTGCTTTAAGTAGACGCTCTTTCCGGATGAGTTGGGCCCAGTGATTATCTTTATTCGTCTGGTAGCCTCACCACTGTTCACAGGATTAGCCACAAATGTCTTTGCACATAGTTCCATCAGTGGATGTCTTCCATCCTTGATGTGGAAGCCATGGCGCTGAGTAAAGCGTGGCCGGCAGTAGGAGTTTTCCCGAGCCATCACTGCCAAAGCCAACAGCACATCCAGGTGTGCAGTATACTCAATCACGCTGTTAAGCACTTCAGACCTCTCCAAGATCTTTGCCTGCAGCTGGTGCATAATAAGTGTTTCTTGGTCTCTTATCTCACAGTGCAAGTCACCCAGCAGGCTGTCTAGCTCCTTAGTTCTAGCACTTCTGTAGTGCAGTTTATCCTCTGACAAGAACATGAAGTCCAAGCCTTCAATTTCAAAGTCGTTTTTATCCACCATGCTCGGTAGCCGTGGAATGGAGAGAAGGAACCCAATCAAAGGAATGTAGATCACACAACAGGAAGGAATATGGTTGTCTAACGTTTCCAGTTCTTTTTGTGCCACTTCTGTAAGAAAGTCTGACAGACCCATTAGCCTTCGCTTCTTTTCATCAATGGTGGGATCCACATTGGGTCTAACAGTGAAGCGATTTTGAGAGATGCTGCCTTCAAAGTCCACCACTTTGCTGATAAGACTAGCAATGTATTGCAGATCATCAGTGAAGACGCGTGAAATAATCTGAAAGAGTTCAATACTATGGGGCAGAGAGCGACATGTGTCTCTAAGGCACAGTGCACTGCACACTGTCTTATAGAGTGCTTGCCAGTCACTAACTTTTGTATGGGATAGAGTCATTCTTTTTAGAATAAGAGGCACATTTTTTATATTCCTGAGGCAGTCTTGAAGGGTAAGGACTGTTTCATGGTTCTGAGCCAACAGGAAGAAGTGGATAACATCCAGCCGTTTGTTTAGCTCTGTCAAGTTCCGAGTAGGTCGTGTAAGCCACAGCCTCAAAAGTTTTTCTCCCCGTTTGCACCTACAGCGATTTAAAATCCCATATAAACTGAATCCTTCTTTTAATCCACTAGAAAGTTTATACACAGAAGGATGGATATCACTTTTAAATATCTGTAGAACACTGTAAGTGTCTTGGTCTATATTCACAGTTTCTGACAGAACAAACTTTCTAAAGGCTAAAACAGGAACTGCAATACCGCTTTCTTCCAGTTCAACTCCAACCCTTCTCCTGTCAAGGTACTTAAGGAGCCCCCCTAATGCTCTTATCATGAGTGGGCACTCAAAAGGGATGACTGAGGACAAATAAAGAATTTTTTCTGTTGCAGTCATATGGGATGGGATAAATGGAAATTGTCTAGATAGAATTCGTTGCTTGCTGACTTCTAGGCCAAAATCTATGTTAGGAAATAGGACAATTTCTATTTTTCCTTTATCGCTATCACTGTCTGCTAGGTTGGTCAGGAAATTGGCAATATTCTGATCCTGTTTTGCACTTGTCACTATGCATTTAGGATGAACTTCCCCAGTCACTTTTTGCAGCAGCTCAAGGCCTTCACTATCAGGTGTGTCAGGCATGAAGTAAACTGAGCAATCTTCTGTATCATAGTAAGTAACTGCAAACTCCCCCGCATACCACAAGACAGACATATGTATGTCAGAACACTCTTGCTCCTCTTGTTCAGGCGCAAGCAGTGGTGGCAAGGGGCAACTCGTGGCTGATGTGGCACTCATTCTACTGGAGAACAAAATCCCTGACTGGATGTGGTCCAGTGCAACCTGATGCAGGCTACTGCTTTGAGCCAGAGGGCAGATGGGTGATTACCAGAGGTCCTTCCCAACCTCAGCAACTCAGACCTACGCCCAGCATTTCTGTGAAGTGAACTGTGCAGCTTTACCAGAAGTAAGCACAAATGCCCATAAATACAGCAGCGTACTTGTGCATATATATGCGTATACAAAACCAACTGCCCGCCCCACTGACCACAGTGCCTTGCAAAGACACAGCCACACAGACTGGTCAGCTGGGCCTCCCTGCTATTTATGCACCTGCTTCTTCACACAGTGCCAATTTCTGTGCCAGCAGATGAACGTTTGCTGTAGGGGTCAGCCAGTCTCCCTTACAGAAGCCACACTAACAGCCACCTCTCTGCCTCCAGCTCCTCTCCTTACCCTCCACTCGTCCTCCTCGCCCACCGGTGAACAGCTCACTGCGGCTGTGTGAAGGCCGCGACTTCCACCTCGACCCCCTTCTTCCTTCCCTGGCTCCCGGCCTGTCAGGGAGGCACTGCGCCGGGGCCGAGCCGCTCCACCTGGTCCGCAGCGCCGCCTCTGGCCGCCGCGATGCCAGCCCAGCCCTCGGCAGGCGGCGGGCTCTGCTGCTGTGCTGTGGGCCCTTCGCACGGCTGAGTGCCCCGCAGGCCTCCACTCACTGCGGCACTGCTTCAGAGGCCGGGTGTTTTCTTCCTCCCCACCCAGCACCCAAGTACAGCACGTCTTCGTAATCGAGCGTCTGTAGCTTTCCCATGTGGAAACAGCTCCTCTTCTCCACTGCTCCAGACACGTTCATATAAATGAGTCATGACCTTCCCATGCACCTGCATTGTTTCATCCTTTTACCATCAGCACCTCATTGCAGCCATTGCAGGCAGGGCTCCATCAACTGCTCCAAGTCAGTACAAATATCATTCAGGTTTCCAAATATCTTTCAGGAATGTGTCAACAGCAAAACTCAATTCCTGACCATTTAGCATTTGATTCACTCACGACCAATCTGTTTTTGACAAGCACCATCCCAGCCCCTTTTGAATGCTGTTTCTTATTGGAGCATGATGATCTCGATCTCTTCCCTGGATTCATCCCTCATTTTCTTCACTGAATACTTGAGGCTTCACATTTTGACAAGCATTCTCCTGGCTGAAAAGGTCTTTCTTTAAATTACTGATGGAAGACTAAGCATATTTCAAAGAGCTGTCAGCCAGAGAACACAGTTGATGATTTAGTTTCAAAGTAGCCTAGAATTCGAAATTATCTAAGAACCAATTCAGCCATAGAATATCATATTTTAAATAATGAGTGAGTTTGGAATGCACTTACACTTACAGGAGATTGTGTACTTTAGACAGAAAACATCCACCACTAGATGTCATCATTTCAGAGATTAAGGAACTGGAAAGACATTTCTGACCTGGTTGAACAAGACTTACAATGATAGAACCAAATGTGCAGGTACTTAGAGAAACAAGGTTCTTCTGAAGTGAATCTTTATTGAAGTAAAAACTCAGTAGAAAGCCTTCAGTGAGCACATATTGTATGCGAGTAACTGTGAAAGGATCACAAGAAATGAGTATGTGCACTGCTTAGACAAATGGATGTTGTATAAAGGTATGTGGAAGGAGACAGCATCTATCTGCCTTGGGGCATCTGGTGGACGACCTTTTCAGTGTGGATGGGGATAATAAGAAAAGCAAGAAGCCAAAAGCAGTGGCATATGGAGACACAAGCCTGACTAACATGATTAAGGAGACAGCAACAAGAGTTAAACCTAGTCAGTCACAGTGATTGCTATGAGTTTGTGGAGTGTGGGAATGCTTATTTCCATCAGATTGTCTAGTAGAAGGCGTTGTCAAGTGGGGTGATAAGGGGAAGAGAGAAGCCATAAATGAAATGTATAGAGACACAAAGCTGTCAGGCAAATGTAATACAGGCAAAACCAAGAAACAAACCTTGCCAATGTCACTAATTGGTGGGCTGCTGGGAAAGTACAGGCAAAATAGGACATCGCAACTGTTGGTTTGTGTAAACCTTGAGGGTCCAAGATGTTAAAGGATGTTAAAGGTGAGACTACAAACTAATGGACGAACACACTGGGGAAGGGGATATTGGAGAAACAAAGGAGGGACAAAAAAGAGTGTAAAAAATCATGTAAAACAGCACTTGCTTGACCACTGAAGGCTGTCCTGTTTTATTAAATCGCCTCTTAACCAGCTGTCTGCGTAATCTTACTCCCAGTCCTGTGTGTGCTGCACGGATAAGGGGCCAGCTACTACTGGGGGGACTGGTGTGTGTCAATTTTGAGTTAGGGCAGTGTGTGAGTTCCGCAGGCCTGTTGTGTCAGTGGCTGGAGCCAGTGGAGTCTCAGTGCCAGATGCTGAAGTGAGTGGGGTCTGTCTGCTGTCTGCCCTATCTGTGGGTACAGTTGCACCAGTGTATCTTGCTGGGGCACTTTCAGTGTATGTCCTCTACACTTCTGCCTATGTCTGGGGATACGTGCTCAGCCTTCCTACCAGTGGCACCTGCACAGAGAACAGCAGTAAGTACATCCGTCACAGAGCCTGTGTCCCCACAGCGCCAATCTGTTAGGGAAAAAAAAAAAAAGGGAAAAAAAAAAAGCACATATTTTCCATTTGATGACTTTGAGAACATAAAACTGCTCTTGACAAACATTTGAGATTTTTCTCTGTAATAACTTGCCTGGTGCTGATATGGAGAATAATTTACAGTTAAGTGTTCCATGAAGACTCTTGCAAACCATTTGAAATTAAAGCACTTGCAGTGTTGTGTATGGCACATGACTGAAGAAGAATGAGTAGAAAGGAGGTTTAATGACATTTTTAATCCTTTGTTTAAGTTCTGCAGTAGATAACTGCGTAGCTGAAACAGAATATTTGGCATAGCATTGTTTCAGTACTCTTCTTTCATTTTGAAGCAAATTTCCATTTTAACAAAACCTCTAGTTAAAATGAAAACTATAGGCATTAAATGTGAAAGTTCAGTCTTCTAGCAGAACCTGTAATTGAACTTTATATTGATATTTAAAGGTGAAAAAAATTGACTCAAGCCTTTATGAAGATTATAAAAGCCATTATTTTGGAAATGAAATCCTGCATCGCTTCGATCTTTGCTCTATGTTGAAAAAAAAGCAACCCAATGGCTATTACTACTGTGAGTCCTCTGTTTTTCTTGGTAAGTACATCTTCATTTTCCTCTTTTATCAGTGATGTCTATAATTTATCTACATGAAAAACTATTCTTTCTGCAGTGTATGTTAGGAATTTTTTGTAATAATATCCATGGAGTCTGACAGAAGTCTGTCCTTCAAGTCTTGGCATGTAGATATACTGTGTAGTGCTTCTTGATGACAGCTAAAGCTTGTGGTTAACTATCCATCCCCAGTCCTATTTCTTATTCCAAAATGAGTGAGAGCTCATCTCTCTTTTGACTACAAAGGCAGCATGTGTTACCAAATTTGATTAGACACAGTAACTATGGATGATTAACAATAAGTGAAATATCTCTGGTATGGGAGAGATGCGACTTCACTTATTCATATATAAAGAGAATTTAAATGGTGTAACAGATTTAATAACTTGTCAGAGTATCATCAACACTACTGACGTTGTACAGATACCTTATGTAGAATGTTACAATGCCAGAAATTACTTTTGTCTACTCCTGCTTTATTTGAAATTTCACTCAGTAGTTATTCTAGGCTTGACTTTTAATTTTTGTCACAAATCATATATAGCTGGCATTTCAGGTGGTATGCAAAGAAGGTCTATGCACTGAGAGTCTATGAGATAAAGGCTCTATCATAAACCCTCTTAGTTCCGACTAGCTGATGGTAGAGCTTGGTTGAGACTGCTGTTATTCATATTAAGAACATGAGTTAAAATAATCTTCAGTGGAATATTTAGAAAATTTTTAGGATATTTACTTAAATACAGTCAACCCTTTCAACCTAGGCATGCATTGAGTAATTTATTACCTTGAAAGACACCATTCCCACAGTTTGGAGATCTTTAATGGGATGACAGGCTAGTAGTCGTAGAGCAAAATTAAAATTAATTGTAATTTTTTTCCCTTTCCTAATTAGGCAGGATCTTTATATGTGCTGTGTCAGATGTGAATCTTAACCGAGGTTTATAACAGGGAACAGTTCATGGTCACAGAAGGTCAACTTATGTTTTTTCTTTGTACACCTTTGATTTTATATTTTGGGTCATGTCAATGGTAATGTAGTGGTGTTGGAAGACATGGGATACTGACATTCATGCCAAAAGCTCATTTGAAGATTTAATTTGGATTTTTCCTTTAGAAATAGAAATTCAGAAATGGAGCAAAACTTTGTTTTGCATGTTGTGAATGAGCAGTGGTTCCTTTTCAACAAGAATATGGACAGTCTTAAATGTTAATAAATTGAAGTCTTCACTTTGACATACTCAAGGAAAAAGAGAACATCTGTTCTTGTGTGGTTCCTCTAACAAGAAGGAAGAAATATAAAAAATCTTTTACAGGTGTCCTCAACAACAAAATGCTTACTTAAAGACTATGATAAACTAATTCTATGATAAACTATACATGGCAGCATTTTCCAGAGTTCTGGTAATAAGCAGAAATATTCTTGACAAAAACTGACCAGAGGGATATCAACAAGCATGTCAGTGGATATAGCCTTTCCAACTTAAAAGCATCCTAGCTTTATTAATGAAAATATTCATGACCAAGGAATGGTGGAATCCTCAGAAAGAGAGAATAAAATGTACATTAGGGAAGTCTTCCAAGACCGTTGTCATCCCTTCTAGCTCAATAGAAACACCTTCATTGTAGACAGTTTTAAAGGAAAGCCATGACTTCATCTTCAAGGACTGAGAAATCTTAAAAAGAAGATAAATTCTACTTATTTTGAAGATGCATCCTTAAAGACTAAGAAATCACAAAAAGATGGGAACTTT